ATGTGTGTATGTCATTGTGTGTGCATGTGTATGTAGCTGTGTATTTTGCGCTTGTAGTTGTGCTGCTCCAATCTTCAATGTTTGATATTGTCGTCAATATGCGAGTAGGAGATTGGTGTCCGTGGGTTGGAGAGAATTATCCGGATTTCCACCGGGCAGTGACTTTATTTTGTGGCGAGTCACGACCGCCACGTCACAGCGCTATTAAGCAGACGTTTGTGGTTTTTTGTAGGGAGAACGCTTGCCAGGCGAAACCCATCACGTCCTGAAACACTGCCTCCGAACTATTTGCTGGAACGGGTTAAACCCAACCACCCAGCTGACACCACGAAGAGGTTGTTCAGCTAGCCACTATTTACCACAGTCCGTCTTATTGGCTCATCTATGTTATTTGCATTGTGCCGCTGGCGCCCTTTCCATTAGTTTATGCTCGCTTGCCACTCTCTCACTTGTCACTCACTTGTCAATCGCCTGTCACTCTGTCTAAAATCACCTTGACTTGCACAGCGGGTGTACCATTGGCGGGATTGGGTCCGCGCTTCTTCTCTTGGTTCATTAACTCAAGCCTTGGCTCACGGTACACGACTATGCGCTTCATCGCCTGCCGGCGCATGATTGGTCATGTGGATGTTCAGTGGACAGTTAAAGTGTGGGCGCGGGTGCGTGTTAACTAGTTCCTGTTTGGCCGACAAAGTGCTCACTCCGTATCGGCCTGACATGTGATGTTCGATCGGCATCAGGGCACTTCCAATCACCAGCAGTTCCAGCCCCATCACAGGACCAGCAACCACAATGCAGGCTATTCCCAAAGCCCCTCTAAGGTCGGCTGATTTGTCGAAGAACGTCCAGGGCAATCCATAACGTTCCAGAGTTTAAAGCAATCAGCAAATGTTAGTGACGACACTCCAAGTTCCCTCGGGCAACCTAGAAGGAATCTGCGTTCCAAGCGCTCATCCGTGAATACGTCGTTTGCTCAACGTTTTCCGTTGCAGTTTGCCACACAGAAGTGCGTTTACACTTATTCGACCCCGATTCAGCTGCGATAACGTGTGCAGTCCGGCATCCAGAGCTAACTTGTTTGGATCGTCTGTTAACTTCGCTTTGCGATTTTTGCGCCATTCACATAAACACAAAATCGAGGAATGTTCTGAATCGCAAACCACACACATATTTGTGGTTCTAATCAAAGGGCAACTAACCGGTTCACTGAAAAAGCAACAATTGTATATGTGCTCCTTCGTCAAAGTAGCTATCAAACAAGTTGTGTCCGTTTTGCTCAGTCGGTCTGTGTGCTGCGTAAAAGATTTAGCTGCTTAAACCCGCCACCAATTAGGTCAGCCGAACAGAACGGAAAAAACTTGAACCAGCAGAGAATTCATCGCAATATCGACCGGCAAGAAACAAAAAGCGATCGGGCCATTACTGGGATTACCATCGATTGACGCAATCATCACCATCATCATCATCATCATCATCATCATCATCATCATCATCATCATCATCATCATCATCATCATCATCATCATCATCATCATCATCATCATCATCATCATCATCATCATCATCATCATCATCATCATCATCATCATCATCATCATCATCATCATCATCATCATCATCATCATCATCATCATCATCATCATCATCATCATCATCATCATCATCATCATCATCATCATCATCATCACCATCATCATCATCATCATCATCATCATCATCATCATCATCATCATCATCATCATCATCATCATCATCATCATCATCATCATCATCATCATCATCATCATCATCATCATCATCATCATCATCATCATCATCATCATCATCATCATCATCATCATCATCATCATCATCATCATCATCATCATCATCATCATCATCATCATCATCATCATCATCATCATCATCATCATCATCATCATCATCATCATCATCATCATCATCATCATCATCATCATCATCATCATCATCATCATCATCATCATCATCATCATCATCATCATCATCATCATCATCATCATCATCATCATCATCATCATCATCATCATCATCATCATCATCATCATCATCATCATCATCATCATCATCATCATCATCATCATCATCATCATCATCATCATCATCATCATCATCATCATCATCATCATCATCATCATCATCATCATCATCATCATCATCATCATCATCATCATCATCATCCTCATCATCATCATCATCATCATCATCATCATCATCATCATCATCATCATCATCATCATCATCATTACAGCGCGCGCGACTCCATCATGCTTAGACCTGCTGTTGACTAGCTGTGAGCAGCGTGTACATAACATTCAAGTCTTAGAGCTTCTGGGAGCGAGTGACCACTCAGTGATGATAGGCAGTTTAGAACTACCGCTACCGTATCCTCTCCCACTAGAGTCAACCTTCAACTATTGGAAGGCGGACTTTAATGGCCTCATTCGAGCAGCGAGCCAGATAGACTGGTCTTTACCACAGG